AACAGAGGAGGAGAGAGTGCAGCAAGAATAACATGAGGAGCAACAATCAGGAAGGAACAACCGTCTGTAATAAAATGGAGAATCAAGATAGCTGCATCTCAAAGGGAACAGCCAGATCCAGAACTGCATGAGGGAGAGAAATCCCAGACAGAACTAAAGGAGTCATAGCCCTAGATGAGCAGTCACAGCCAGACAGGAGAAGGGATGAAAGGGCACCAAGGACACCGTGAAGGGCCAGATAATATCTGAAGTTGTTTCTGTGAGCCTGCTGCATGCTTTGAAGTGTGTTGGTTGAGGATTCCGGCAGCAATCAGACAGAGCAGGCAAGACCAGTATAGATCATAGAATGGCATAGGCTGGAAAGGACCTTAGAGATCATTTAATCCAACCTCCCTGTCATGGGCAGGGACACCTGTCAACTAGATCAGGCTACTCAAGGCTCCGTCCAACCTGGCCTTGAACACCTCCAGGGAGGGGGCATCCACAACTTCTCTGGGCAATTTATTCCAAAGTCTTACCACCCTTGTACTGAAGAATTTCTTCCTAAGATCTAATCTAAATCTGTTCTCCTTCAACTTAAACCCATTTCCCCTTGTCCTATCAGTGGACACTCTTGTAAAAAGTCCCTCCTCAGCCTTCCTGTAGGTTCCCTTCAGGTATTGGAAGGCAGCTATTAGGTCCCCCCGAAGTCTTCTCTTTTCAAGGCTGAACAATCCCAGCTCCTGCAACCTGTCCTCGTAGCAGAGGTGCTCCAACCCCTGGATCATCTTTGTGGCCCTCCTCTGAACATGCTCCAACAGATCTATGTCTGTCTTATGGTGGGGACAACAGAACTGGATGCAGTATTCAAGGCGGGGTCTCACAAGAGCAGAGTAGAGGGGGAGAATCACCTCTCTTGACCTGCTGACCACACTTCTCTTGATACATCCCAGGATGTAGTTAGCCTTCTGGGCCGCATGAGCGCACTGCCGGCTCATGTTGAGCTTCTCATCTATAAACACCCCCAAATCTTTCTCTTCAGGGCTGCTCTCAACCCATTCTGTGCGTAGGATTGGGCCGACGCAGGTGAAGGACCTTGCATTTTGACTTGTTGAAGCTCATGCAATTTGCACTGGCCCATTTCTCAAGCCTATCAAGGTCCCTCTGGATGACATCTGTTCCCTCAAGTGAGTCCACGGCACCACACAACTTGGTGTCGTCGGCAAAGGGTGCACTCAATGCCGTCATCCATGTCGCTGACAAAGATGCTGAACAGCACTGGACCGAGAACAGACAGTATGATGTAGTGTAACTATAAAAGTAACCCCAGTAGAATATGTATTGGCAAGTGACAAACAATAATCAAAGCAAGGAAGAGGATGACTGGAATGGAGAGAAATATTCCTTTTTTTTTTTCTGGTCCCAGAAAGCAAAATTAACCTCAGTGGTAAGATCAATTACTGGCCCTGGCTTTGCAATACAAACAATTCATTATTTCCTAAACCTTTGTATGTAGAATTTCCTTTTTCTTCTTAACTCTGTGCTACTTCTTTAAAAATGCTTTTTCCTGCTTTCTCTGTTGAGTGATGGAAAGAAGATATATTTCTAGTAGTAATAAAGGGAGACCATGCTGCCTGCCTCCCCTCAAAGGCAATGTTCTGTGTTAGGAAATCTGTTAGCTAAAAATATGCACAAAGAAAAATGCTCAGCTGCCC